ATTGATATTTTTTTTCATTTAAAATGTAGTGCTTATAAGGATTTGAAGTAACATGAAAATATTTGTAACATAAGTAATGCATGTGGACTTTTTGTAGTTCAAAAGAAAAAATCAATTTAAAATAATTTTCGCATTAAAATGCTAAAGGTTAAGTTGAATAACAACAAATATTATAACTCAGCTGAGCCAGGAAAATTAATTGCAAGGGGAAACAACGTTCGCCGGGTCAGCTAGTATTGTATAAAAAATATAAATAATATTGAATTAGTTTTATACTTTGTTACTTTATGAAAACACTGTAATCTGTTTAGACCAGAAATTTGTACGTGTTTTGTAACGCGAAATGTTTACATCAGTACCGTTCGCAATTATACTTGTGAGTGTTCTGCGATTGCACAAAATCAAGAGTTTTTGATACAAGAGTTTTTTTTACCAAAAACGCAACGAAAGTGATTGACCAGGCACTGTACTCATTTACCATGGCCCCGTGTGGCTTTCCTTCTACTTTTTACGCTTCCACTGTTTACTCAAATAAGTTGTCGTTTACATTGGCATAAGTTGCTTATAACATGTGAAGGAGCTTTTGTATGGTTAAAAATATTTACTTAGCAATCTCAAGTAAGTTGACTTGTCTAATGAAGCCAGTGGAAACATACTATAAAATTGCTACACCGAAGAAAGCGTTTCGAGTCTCTTAAAGAGAATTTTTATTAATTGACTTTTTTGGTTTCTTTTAATTTCCATATATATATATTTTTAAAGAGTATTTATAATGCTATACATTAATTTATCAAGTTTTAAACACCTAATAAATTTACTGAGTTTCAAATACAATTTATTTTCCTAATGTTTAATTTTAGAGGTTTCTGCTTATTTTTTTTATTCATTAAATTATTTTTTTTTAAAACCCATATCCTTGCTATATAACATTTTAAGTGAAATTTGTAATTAATTGCAGTAATTTCAATAAAAATCATTTCCGTAAAAAACTACTCTCAGTAAATTAATTAATTATCTTCACCAAGTCCTCAACTGCATTTGTATCTAAAACATTTTTCTTTTATTTGCTGCCCTCGCTTTTCGGTTTTGCAGCAAAATGGTGCGTGGGTCACACAGTCAAGACTCCACCTCTCAAATCAAATAAGCCATAAAAACCTCAGAAAAGTACATAAAACTAAGCCACACAACCAAACAGCATTAGAATTGTTCACACTTAATAAAATGGAATGAAACAAACGCTAGGTTGGTGCGGGAATATAACTGGACATGTCCGAGCAGAGATAACACAAAATGTTAAGTCCTGCTATAAAATGTGCAGAGTTCATGTCAAAAGAAGGATTTCTATTCCATTCAATAGAAAGGTTACAAGATAAATATCATATGCATTATTCGTTCTCGAAAAGGGGTATACGACGGCGCTGGAAATTGGTATACATAAGTACAATATAAGGATGTTTATCTGTATCTGTGAATAATTGTATCTGTAAGCTAATACTTAGTTGTTTATTTTATTTCCTTCTTCATTCTCATTAAAGCCTTTCGTGTTCCTCCGGTTTTGTTTGTTCGTCTGTTTTTGGTAGCATGGATGTGAATTTATGTCAACAGGATGTGAGTTTAACTACACATGTTCGTGCTATTGGCAGGCTAATTAATTCAACTTAAATTAAGTAAGACGTAAAATTTAATACAAATTAAAATGCAATCAATTTTATTACTGAATATTATCTTCTTCTTCTTCTTTTTTGTTTACGAGTATATATGTGCTTATGTATCTGTTATAATGACATAATTAATGCAAATACGCAGATACCAAGTTTGCTGTTTGCTGCCTCCCACGTACTTGGATTACGTATATAAATAAGATGCTTCAGTAACCAAAATATGAAAATAATAATTTAATGAAAAACTTTCAGAGTTGGAAGAATACATCCACAATGTGAACAATGTTTTCTAATTTAAAATGTCAGTACGTGTTTACGTGGAAGTGTCTCTGTTATATTAAATAGGCTTAACTTTTAACATTTAAGATAGAAATTTCAAAAATAAACATAATTTTGGCTTCTGGAGTGTCACAAATTTGTTTTATGTTCATGTCTCTTTTTTATTCAAATATTTTTATTTTTATAATATGCCACCGAAAATCCCATAAAATAAACGAATAAACAAATTGGCTTAACAAAACTGTTAGTTTAAACCAAATTTAAATAGTATGTATTATATTAATTTATTTTACTATATTTAATATAACTTTAATATGCTAACAACGCACTTACCAGAGAATATTAGTGAGTTAATACTTTTTCTTAATATGAATCACTGTATTTAATATATCTTAAATCAGCTAAGGATTCACTTCCTAGAGAATCTGAGTTAGTCACACGGTTTCTCATTAAAGAGCATCACTGTATGTAACATATCTTAAATTAGCTAAGAACGCATTTTTTTTAGAGAATATTAATCAAATACAATTCTTCACAATGACCATTACTTTATGTAATATATCTTTAACCAGCTAAAGACTCACTTACTAGAGAATCTGAGTTAGCTACAAAGTTCCTCCTTAATCAACATCACTGTATTTAATATATCTTAAATCAGCTAAAGACTCACTTACTAGAGAATCTTAGTCAACCACAATGCTTCTCCTTAATGACCATCACTGTATTTAATATATCTTAAATCAGCTAAGGATTCACTTCCTAGAGAATCTGAGTTAGTCACACGGTTTCTCATTAAAGAGCATCACTGTATGTAACATATCTTAAATTAGCTAAGAACGCATTTTTTTAGAGAATATTAATCAAATACAATTCTTCACAATGACCATTACTTTATGTAATATATCTTTAACCAGCTAAAGACTCACTTACTAGAGAATCTGAGTTAGTTACAAAGTTTCCCCTTAATCAACATCACTGTATTTAATATATTTTAAATCAGCTAAGAACTCACTTCCTAGAGAATCTGAGTTAGCTACAAGGTTTTTTCTTAATGATAATCACTGTTTTTAATATATCTTAAACCAGCTAAGGTCTTACTTCCTAGAGATTCTGAGTCAGCTACAAAGTTTCTCCTTAATGACCATCGCTGTATTTAATATATCTTAAACCAGTTGGGAACGCACTTCTTAAAGAATATTAATCAGTTACAATTATTTTTCTTAATGTTCATCACTGTATGTAATATATCTTATACCTGCTAAGAACACATTCTCTAGAGGAACTTAGTCAGCTGTAAGTTCTCCAAACAGCATTACTGTATTTAATATATCTTAAACTTGCTAAGGATTCACTTTCTAAAGGATTTTAGTAAGCTATAAAGACACAAAAGAAGTTTTGTAATTCCTAAGCTTACGTCAAGCAAGTTTTTTCTGGTCTTTAAAAAAGGTGACCCGACGATTTGCGACAACTATATATCAGCTATACTGTATGAAAGGTTGAATGCAAATGCCAACTCACTGAATGAGCCTTACAGGTGCGGCTTTCGACCTGGTCGCTCCACTAGATATTTACATTGCGACAGATTCTGGAAAAAGCTCAAGATCATAATATCGACACTCACTACCTTTTTGTCGATTAAAAATCAGCTTTTGATAGTCATATAAGAAATTCCGTTTACACCATAAAGGCTGAGCTCAGTATTACTGTAATATTAAGACTCTGCAGAATGACGTCAAGTTAGGATCAATTCTCTTCGAACCTTTTGATACCCTGTGAGGCTTCAGACAAGGTGATCCTTTATCATATAATCTTTACAATTTCGTAATGGAACAATACTACTCTGCAACAATACGACTACAACGAATTGTAGTAGAATCTATTATTTCGAACAACTTTCTTTAATACGTTATATGTCGATAAAACTTTCCTTATCTTTCAATTGGATTACAATTTTAGTCAATCCTATTAATCTTCCACAAAGTTCCTGGAGTATTCTTAATGTAGTGGACAGTTTAAATATCCAAAAGTTATTATTATGCATTTTTATGACATTTTTGTTGATGGGTGCATGATTGTGGGTATAGTACTTCTAAACTATTCATTCTAATCCATGGATTTGTAGCGATGGTTCTACGCAGACCTTACCGCTGATCTGATTTTTGCAATTAAATTTGGATGAACTTCCTTAAACTTGCAAATATATTAATAAATAAAAAAGTAATAAAGTACAAAAATAAAATTTTAATATTTATTAACTAATTGAATTTTTGGCCGACCATACAGCTGTTTCGATAGGTATTGCCAAATACCCATTATCAGTGGTCTTGGAATTATTTCTTATATTTAATTATTCGTAAATGATTTTTTGAAACTGTAGAACTAAGGGTTGAATTCGTACCCTGTCACATTTGAAGGTCAGAGTCAGCGTTCATTAACCAATGGACTCAAAACCGTAGTTGACTTGTATGTTCGTACTTTGGAGTTTTGTTAATTTGCTGTGAAAGTTCATTAACAAATTCATTTGTTGTGTTATATTAAAATGAAATCATAAACCAGTTGTAGAATAATTGAATTAATTAAAATTATTTTTATTTTTAATTGTTTAATTTCAATACTATTGTTTTTGTAGAGGCATTATTTGTTGTGCATAGCACCTTATTTGGGAACTTAATACAGAGGACTTATGCTAATATTACTCAACGATTCGTTCAGCGGGAAAATGGAAAATTTGAACCAATATTTTGTAGTCATTTGTTTCCCTTTGTTCAAAAATACCGCTCTATTAAACCAATAGTTTCTATTAAGAAATAAGGTTTCTTTCGTCATAATAGACTTTAAGAATCAAATTTAAAAACAAATAATATAAAATTTTTATTATTAAAATGTTAGAATTAATGAAGACATAATTAACCATATGGTCTTTGTCGAGTCTAAAAACCGTGATGAACTGTTAGACGTGCCTTCTATATTACTTCTGTATAAATTAATATACATATTTATACGTTAAAAATAGTTTAATAAAATTTTATTTTGATATTTATATTTACTTTTTCTTTTCAGATTTTTTTCATAGAGAAAAGTAACAGAAGCAAAACCAAATAATTAGTATCTCATCTTCTTATCTAGAGATACTTTCAGAAATTAATAGAAATATGATAATTGAGCTTATCCAAGTTATAGCGAAGGAACGATTGGGCAGCATTTGTATACTATAGCACACAGATAAGGGAAAATGTAAATAATCAATTTGCATACAAAAATAAAACTAAAATTAGTAACATATAATTACTAATCAAAAATATAAATAAACACAGACATATCAAAGTTGCAGTTTTACTTCAATTATGAAATTTAAAAGAACTTATACAAATATCACAACGTCATAATCATAACCAATCATTGTAAATAAAACTTTAACGGCCAAGTAACAGAAGCAACAAAGCACAATGGTCAAGGGTATATTGGTGAATCGCAAAAGCGATGAGACGCTTAAGTCCCAACTTAAAATGGAGCATGCCGATCTGGTAGCTGAAATGCAAACAGTGGAAAATTTACCCACACACGAACGTTTACAACTGGCCAGATTGTGAGTATCTAAACCAAATCGCAATTGCAAATATTTGTTGGCAAACATTTTTTTGAATTATTTTATTTTCTTTTACTTGTTATTTTAGACGACGCGCTCAACAGTTGAAAGTGGCACGACAGAAAGATAAGGAATGGCTGAAACTGCAGCGTGCCAAGGGCAATTTGAATAATCTTGGCAACAATACCACAACACATCATTTTCGTAATAGTAATAGCAGCGGGAGGCATATATCCTTCGAGAATAGTGTTGTGCTACTGGAAGCTGCCAGTCGCAATGATATGCAAGAAGTGGCGGAATTGCTGGAGCATGACATCACACCAGATGCAGCCAATGAGGACGGTCTCACTGCGTTGCATCAGTGTTGTATTGACAATAATGTTGAAATGTTAAAATTATTATTGGAATATGGTGCTAATGTTGATGCACAGGACAGTGATAAATGGACACCTTTACATGCAGCTGCTACTTGTGGCCATTTGGAGCTTGTGCGTATACTTATTGATCATGGTGCTAATTTGTTGGCAGTTAATACCGATGGTAATATGCCATATGACTTATGTGATGATGAGAATACCTTAGATTATATTGAGGCTGAAATGTCGAAACGTGGTGTTACACAGGAACTTATCGATGAAACACGTTCGTCGACAGAACGACAAATGTTAAGGGATTTAATGGATGCAGCGCAAAGTGGTAAAGACTTAGAAGAACCAGACTATCAAGGCGCCACACCTGTAAGTTTGAAATATATTTTTACATATAAAACATATAATATAATATATATATAAACAAGAATATAATGTATATATAAACATATAATATAATAAATATATAATATAGAATAATATATAAATATACAGTTTGCAAACACAAGGTTGACAAACTGTATATATATATATAAACACATAATATATGTACGTTTGAAAACCGTTGAATTGCTAGATGTGTTGTATAGAATTCTTATATAAAAAATTCTACGCTCTCCGATTTGTATTAGAACTGTAAAATAGTATTACATTACTTTAAAGTGAAGTTTATATGACGCGTATATTGAACTTCCCTAAACGTTTTACATATGGTCACTTCAACCCATCTTTACAGTGATCAACCCATTCCCATAATATACATTGATTTTATTTAATGGAATAGTTAATTTTATTAATTTTGCTCTGTTTCGACTACTTTATATTTTTCTTTATTATCATTTTTTTTCTGTTCCCTTGTATATCTTTTTCATTATCTCTGCTAATTACTTAGCAATGATTAATTGATGATACTGTGCAATTATATATTTCTTCATTCAACAATTGGACAAATTTATTTTTATAATCCAGAGTGACTTTATTTAGTTTTATATTTATCTGCATTAGTTAACCGCTATTTTGCCACTATTTATATATTTTTCTATATGTAATATAATTTACTAGTTAGTTATTTATTTTACTACTTTTATCTTCATCTCCTTCTTTGTCTCTCCTTGTCTTTCTTCCCTGTCCCTCTACTCTTTTCTCTTTATTACTCTCTCTCACTCCCTATCTTTGCTCTCTCTCTCTCTTTATTTTTTTTCCCTCTCTCTCCTTATTTTTTTTCTCTCTCTCCTTATTTTCTCTCTCTCCTTATTTTCTCTCTCTCTCTCTCCTTGTTTTTTTCTCTCTCTCTCACTCCCCTTATCTCTTCTCTATCTCTCACTCCCCTTATCTCTTCTCTATCCTCTCTTCTTGTCTTTTCTCTCTCTCTCCTTATCTTTTCTCTCTCTCTCTCCTTATCTTTTTCCTATCTCTTTCTCCTTATTTTTTCTCTATCTCTCTCCTTATCTTGTCATTCGCTCTCTTTCCTTATCTTTTTCTTTCTTTCTCAGCTCTCATGATCGAATTGAAACTGTCATTTGTTTTTATTTCTCTGTCTTAATTTTATAATTTGCATTGAAGACTACAACAATTTTGATTTTCACGAGCCCATGACACTCTACCTTATGGGTCTTATATATACACACAAAATTATACTTATTTGGTTTTCAAAACCCAACTTTTAATTTTTATAACCGAACAACATTCATTTGATCAACGTAACGAAAATCTCGAAAACAGCAATTTCTCATTTGACGTGATCATGACTGTCTGTATAACATGATCCTTGGTAAACCTTTGCTTAGTTTAGAAAATCTGTGGTTATTTCCACGATACTATAAATATATATTTTACATCAATGGCTAATCATGTTCATTATGTTTTAACATATTCATATCCATTAATGATTCAATTTCGTATAATTATTTTTAGCTGCATATTGCTGCCGCAAATGGTTATGTTCATGTAGTCGAATACCTCCTAGAACAACACGTTAATGTAGATGCCTTAGATAAAGATATGTGGTCACCAGTGCACGCAGCGGCCTGTTGGGGACATGTAAGTATTAATACTATAGTAAAATTTAAAATGTGAATAAAAAAATGTTTTCCTTTTTTAAATAAGTTGGAAGTATTAGAAATGCTAGCACAGTGTGGTGCAGATTTAAATGTGAGAAATAAAGATGATGAAACGCCGTCAGGTATGGACTTCAAAAAATATATATTTTTCATTTTACCATTTTTTTTAATTTTAATTTACTATCAGATATTTGTGAAGATCCAGAAATACGCGAACGTATTGAGCAACTCAAAACGGAACAGGAAAGTAAACGTTTAGCTGAAGCACAAAGACGCCGTGTCAGGCGTTCACAGAGTAACAATACAAGGTAACTAAAGAAATGAACAATTTTAGCATAATCTAATATAAACTAAACTAAACTTCATTGTTAATTCTAATAGAGCACAATCGGTTCGTCGCACTTCGTTACGTGATAAAACATTAACAACCAAAAAAGATGCAGTTGAAGAAGCTAGATTACGGTTACAAGCACAAGAGGTTTATATAGCACCCGATAGCACAAACACTTCATTAGATCCAAATGGTGATATCTTACGTACAAATTCAAATATACACAATGATAATATAACAGCAAATACAGCGAACGCAACAACCACAACAGAAAATGGCCTTAGTTGGTTAAGTAAAGGACCAAATAATAATAACAATACCATTAATACGAATAATAATAACGATAAGAAACTGCAACAACAACAACAACAACAAGGTAGTTTGGTGCTTAACGGTGGGTTATTGTTAACACATTCAAAGTCTGCTGATGCAATAGATTCAACGCATTCCCTAATACCACGACGGCCACCAGATGGTCGAGAGAATGATGAACTACAAATGAGTGCCTACAAAACTGGCGGTGGTGAACATCAACGCTCCACATCAGCAGCTGCTGTCATAGTTACAGATCGTAATGCGACAACTGCGGGTGCAACTTTGGCATCAGAAGCTGTACAAATACAATCAAGCAAAGAGGCAACAAATGGTAAAATAAATGTGCAGGTGACAGTGCTTGTCGGTAAGTGGTACACCATTACATTAAGCTTGCGACACATCACATATGTACACACATTTAATTACGTGTTAGCTTTGATTTTCTGAACTATATCTTATTCAACAGGGCATTGTTAATATGATACTTAACGCCTCATATGCATGCCCTACTATTTATTACACTAGCACACTCATTTAAAAATATATATAAATATATATATATATACATATGTATATGTAAATTATGTATTGTAAATAAACCACATTGTCTTTTTTTTTCTCTTTTCATAACATTTTTTGCATTCTACCATACCACATTTGTATGTTGTTAATCGCTTTAAATATGTACAACGAATAATTTTCTACAACTTTAAAAACCACATTAACAAATTAAAAAAAATATATATATGTATATATAAATACATCTATATATATCTACCATTTCCTTGTGTTGTACTAAAAATGATCATCGTGCATCTGATGGCCTATACATTATAAAAACAAAATTCATACGTAAATGCAGATACAGCAAGCACCCATCATCTTCATCAACAGCAAGCGCAGTTGGATTCATCCTTTGCGGGTGCCACATTGGCTAATTTAAAAAAACAACGTTCGTTATCACGTACAAACGTACTTAATTATGAAAATGGTTCTGTTTTAGGAGCCTCAACTAATAATAACAACAACAACAATAACAATTTTATGGGCGATGGACATACGATAAGCAGCCAACCTTTAAGTGGAGGTCTGTTACCAAATGCAATAGATTTTGGTAGTATAAACAGTGCTGAGAATCCGGCATTTGCATCGTCAGTGAATAAATTCAGCGGTGTGACGGGCGACGTGGTCAGTGATAGTACTAGTTCAAAAAAATGTTGCACAGTTATGTAAAAGTAAATATTTATTAATAGCGCATTATGTATTAAGATCTTAAGTTTTTAAGGAGCTATTTGTATGTATACATATAGTATATAGTTATCTAAGAAACTGAAAAACATTAAAATTATTCTTTAATTTTTATTTTTATTTTATTAATAAATTTACAAAAAAAAAATTGTATTTTTTCACTTTAAAAAATATATAAATAATTAATTATCATAAAATTTAATTCTTTGCATATATTAACATAATCTTAAACTTCTTATTCATTAAAATGTCGAATGCATTTAAAATATATGTACTGCTTATTTTTTTTAAGCAAATATTCATAGAAGTAATTAATTAATATACACAATAATAATTTTCTTTATAAAATCGTTTTTTTAAATGCCAAAAACATCTTGCCATTGCCGTTTCATAATTGTTTAATAAATAAAAATAAAAATTAAGGAATTAATTCAAATTTTTTTAATTTAAAACATCACAGAACAAACTCCTATAAACAATGATTATAAAATTATACAATATATATCTTTAATATCAACAGTAATAAATAAATGTTTATTTATTATTTGTAATAAATTATTTCAAGCTAGTACTTTAGTCACTTCTTAAGAACTGTTCATTTTATTATTGTTAAAGTTAAAATTTAATTTTTGAATTTCACTTATACATATATATTAGTTTATATATTAATATTTATATATATATATATATATATATATATTATTATATATTAATATATATATATATATATATATATATATATATTATTATTATATATATATATATATATATATTATATGATAAAAATCTGAAATATATAGTAATATATTATACACATAGAATTGAATATCAAACTCAAAATAAAAATCAATAAATTTTCAAAAAAAAAACTTAATATAACATTAAAAGAAAAATATTGTATATATATTCTTTTTCAATATATTTTTTGTTATAACATCACAGCTTAAATTTTCCAAAAGCAATGGTATATTATATTATATCATTAATAATATTTATTTATTTTATATTATATAGTTCATTATTTATTTTATTTAAATTCAAATATTATTATCTTGTACTATATCAATTTTATTGCAGAGATATGTTTACAATTTTATAATTGAAATATACATATAAAAAAAGAATTTATTCAATTGTAATTTCAATTATATACACAAAAATAAATACTGAATGTCGAACTTATAAATAAAACAATTTTTAAAAAAAATTAGTAATATAATAAAAGAAAAAAAATTTAAACATTAAGGATCCTAAAAATTAAATAAGAATTAAATTGAGAATATGACTTAAAGTCTATACGATTCCTAATAATTTAGTAAATTTATTTTTATTTTAAAATATATTTCTGAATTAATTTATGTTAAAATTTAAATAATTGATTAAAAAAAGAAATTATAGAAAAATAAAAGCCAGTATAGTTTTTTTTTTTTAAATATTAATATACGATGGAACGGATTGAAAGGGAGACATTCACGCTTCAAATTAATATTGTGCAATGCCAATGTAAATTTTAGTTGCTTTGAATTATTTATAGAATTCGATTACTTATTGATTATATTGTTATAGATTATTCTTTTTGATTAAATATTAAAATTGTTAAGTTAATAACAAAATTGTTATCTGTTATCCTTTTATGTTATATGTAAAAAACTAATGCTTCGTGCTATAACAAGCTTTGAGCATTTGTCTCTCTCTAACATAGCGAGTTACTCGAAAATGTTCGAATATTTGCAGTTATTTGTATTTGTATAAAAAACAACGAAAATAAAATGAAACAATGCAAATTTGCTGTGTTCAAAAATTTTGAATTTTTTAAAAATTTAAACATAAATATGTTTTCTCCAAATATTCGAAAAGGATATACTAAGTCTACTCGAACATCACAAATGCTCGTACAGTTTGTAGCAATAGTAGAAGCCAATTAGTTATGACTTATTATTATAACAGTTCTTAATAATAAAATTCTATTATATTTTAACTATCTATTTATATTATGATATTAAATAGTAATCGAGATATTTTTATTTAATTTTTTTTTGTTTTTTATTTTACAACATATTTTATATGTTGCTACATTCCAACAAAATAATTAGTTTTTTAATATTTATTTTTTTCCACAATTTATTATTATTGTTAATGATCCCAAATATTTATGTTAACCCTAACTGTTAAGAATTAATTCTGCTTAGCCTGCAAGCTATGTTAGCCACTTTTTTCCTTATACTTGATGCATAATTTCAGCTTTTATATGTAGATATGCATCATTAGTAGTATAAAAATTGTCTGCATAATTTATCATTTTTTATATATTACCTTAAACACAACTAAACTAAACATGAAAGCGTGCATATCTCCTTTATCATTTAAAAATTATCAAAAAAGTATTAAAAAATTTTTTTAAAAAAAAAATTTGAACTTTTAAAACTCAATTAAATCGTTCAATAGAACACGACAAAATAATTAAATGGCCTTATTTGAGAGCATTATTATAATTCATTGAAGTATTTATAAAATATAGATATAGATAAATTTTATTTATAAAAATATATATACAAAGTTTAATTCTTTTACTTTTGTTTGCTTTATGTTTTTCTTTTTCAATAGATATATAATAAAATATTTGCATTATATCAATAAATTGTTTGTACTATATAAAAAAATAATTAATTATTTAATTTTTTATAATTCACATTAAAATTGTTCAAACAAACTGTATTAGAATAATAATCCAATACCCTTTGTTTTAAATTATTTAATAAAATTTTATGTAATTTTATCTATAAATTAAAACATACATATATCTTAGATAGTTATGCATATGTTAAGCATTAATAATTTTATATTTTTATTATTATGCTTAATATAAACATTAAAAAAACATTGTTCCAAATATATAAATATCTTAGTATATATTTATAAATTTTATTGTGTAAGTTTATCAGGCTTAAATGATCGAAACGTATAAGCAATTACTTTCTAAAAGGACTGGTTTAAATTAAACATGATCGACTTTGTTAATTGTTAATAAGCGAAAAGATGAGACATTAAATTATAATAAATAAAAAAATATTTTTATGCTTATTTATAAATTATGATTTATATGAATTATTTAAGAAATATTAAAATAACTGAAGAATATTTGTAATAATTAAATAAGCAATGTTATTTGAAAACAATCTTATATATATATATAATATAGGTAAAAATTTTTAAAATATATATATAAAATAATTCTATATATGGAATATCTTTGGACATAAACTTCAACTAATGATATTTCTTTTTGGTACTGTTACATCTATTTAATTTTAAAAACTAGTTTAAATTATAGTAATTGGATAGCTCAGTATTATATTGTGAATACTTTTTTTGATGTAGGCAAACGGTTCTGTTTCAAGATCATTAAAAATAAAATTTCTGAACGAGCTCAGCTTATGTGAATCTATATTTCACAGATCAAAGGACAAAGGACAAAAGAATCTCACAATAGACTTATGAATCTATAAAAGTTAAATTTTTGGACAAACGTAGCCTCTTTAGATCTTAGATCTTTTAGATTTCTAGATTAACTTAGCTGGTTTGAATCGTTTTTTTTCCAATCAAAGGGAAAAATAGATTTATTACAGAATTATTAATCTATAAAAAAAATTTCTGAACGAACTTAGCCTGTTTGAATCTAATTTGTCGTGGCGTAAACGAAAAAACGTTCTTATTGCAGATTGGTAAATCGGAAAAATTTCCTCATAACTTATAGGAAAAATCTCATTAGAGACTGGTGAATTATAAAAACATAAAAAAATATTATAAAAATATAAAAAAATATATATAAAAATATAAAAAAGTATTATAAAATTATAAAAACATATTATAAAAATATAAAAAAATATTATAAAAATATAAAAAGTATTATAAAAATATAAAAAAATATTATAAAAATATAAAAAAATTATTATAAAAATATAAAAAAATTATTATAAAAATATAAAAAAATTTATAAAAAAATATAAAAATTATATATAAAAATATAAAAAAAAAATTATAAAAAATATAAAAAAGTATTATAAAATATAAAAATATTATAAAAATAAAAAGTTTATAAAAATATTAAAAAAATATTATAAAAATATAAAAAAATATAAAAAAATATTATAAAAATATTATAAAAATATAAAAAAATACAACAATATAAAAAAATATTATAAAAATGTAAAAAAATATTATAAAATATATAAAAAAATTCTAGACGATTTAGCCTATTTAAGTCTAATTTGTCATCGCTCAAACGAAAAGAGATTCTTATTACAGATAAAAAATTATTCGGAAATATAAAATTTCTCATAGCTTAAAGAAAAAATCTTATTAAAGACTAGTAAATTTTTAAAAACAAAAATTCCAAGACGAGCTTAGCTTATTTGAATCTAATTAAAAAAAAAATCTCGTTACAGACTGATACTAAAACTGATGCTGAATGTTTAGTAACTTTGTAATGATGATGTAATGTAAGTTACTAAAAAAAATAGTGAACAAGACCTTTCTTGCAAAACCTTGAAAAACGAGATCCTTAAAGATAACTCATATGGATACTTGAGTTTTGTATTTGAAGCCTGAGTTAGGAGACTAAAAAAAATAAAATACCTAGAATGTAACATAATAATACTACACAAGAATATAAGCGTTAAGGAACTAGATTGAAAATTATAAAAGGAATAGGAATATAATTCGATTTGGGGGTTTGGAGCTTTTTGTGCGATATTCTATCTGGAGTAATCTAAGCTAAAATTACAAGCAAAACTATCTTGAGAATCCAGTATTAGATACGAAGCTCAAGTTATGAATTTTAGTATTGTGTATAGAGTATAAAAAAATTATTAAATATTTTTATAGAAACTACTCAGTTTGAGAGCCGATAGCAAATATCGGTTCAGAAGTAAAAAATACGTTTTAATTAATCTAACTTCAGATATAATTACAACAGAACAGAAGCTTTTTCTCGTTTGAGGTAAGTTCAAATCTTACAAACAATTTATAATAAAAATACTTTATTATTATAATTTTGGAATAATGGATATATGATTAAAGCCTTTCTTTTATTTGAGGTAATTTATTATACTCTCTTATTTATTATAATTATGGAACAACATCTCTAAAAAATAGAGAACGCAATGTATTGCTGGACTTACATTATCTTATCTAATTATTAATACTAATATAATATTATATTATATTACGAATTATCAAATGAATCCAAATGGCAGTAATTAGAAACCGTTGAATATGGTCGATGAGGAGTCATGTTTAGAATATCTGCTTCTGCATCAGATATTGATTGAAAAACTTGTGATCTTACCTTATGCTGATATATGGGTGGCATTTGTTTGGTAGCTTGATACATGGACATGAAAAATGTATAAAGAGGATCTCTCTCACTACTTTCTTCGCTCTTTTTATTTTTATTTTTATTTTGATTTATGTTTTTTGTATCTTCTGCTGATTGTTCTAAACTTTGATGGTAAGGCTGCATTGAACGTTTAATAAGATCACATGAATCATTATCAAAATTCTTCTTTTCTTCCTTTACGTAATTAATTTCTTTACCCACTTCAACAATATTATCGTCATCTTGAGGTTGTAATTCACTTTCATCTTTACATTCTTCTTCTACTTCAACCATTTCAAAAGGTAGATATGTTGTGGAATCATATGAAAATTGAGAATCATTGCAGGTATGATCAAAGGTATAACCTTCACGGTTTCCAACTGATGTAAATTTTTCAAGAAATGACATTTTATTTTGATATCGCCATGGCTTTATATGTTCGGCTCCACTTTTCTGCATTTTTATTTGTCGCCGTCTTGCATCTCGATAGCTGCCTCTTAATCTAAGCCACATGGTTTTTGCATTTTCTCCTGCAAAATCAATAAGAAAAAAAAATTAATCAAGCTTTATACAATTTATTGCATGGCTTTATATAATTTATATTAGATTTAAATTAAATTTAGATATACATATAGATATTTTTTGGAGTTCAATGGTATAAGAACTGATTAATAGGTGCAATAATAAAAGTATAGTTAGGTGATATGAGAATTCGTAGAATAATTGACCTCAGATCTGCATACCTACCCGAGGAGCCTGTAACCATTCTGAGATTCGATAACGCGGTGCCGGTAACTCTGTCAGTTTTTGTAAATAATTTCAATGCTCTATCCTTTATGAATTTTTTGACCGAATCAATCTTGAGGTCCATGAGGATGTCATTTGTCCATATGTACCATGGTACTTGAAAAGTCTTCTCAGAGTCTGGCTTTGTGTAATTTCTAGGTAGTGAATAGTAGTGTTTGAGGCTTTGCTAAACGCTACACATCTATATAGAAATAACGGTCGCATTATTTGGTTATATAACAGTTTCCTGTTCTTAGTATTCAGATTTTTATTTTTGAATAGTGATTGGAGATGATGAACAATTTTGGCACAGCTAATTCTTGAAGTTGAAGATGTTTAAACCATGTGAATCGTTTGTTCACCGTGATGCCTAGATATTTAATACTATTCTCCCAGTTTATTACCATATCTCCCACTCTCACTCTCGACGGGTTCTGTCTCCACTTACGCGTAATAAACAGAGCCTTGGTTTTTTCATTATTGACCTTTATTTTCCATTTCTGGAAATACTTCAGTATGAGGTTTATATGTTACTTATTGTAGCATCTGTTGGAACTACACTACTTGTGCTAGTGAAGTTCTATCAACTACCAATTCTCATTCCACATAACTAGTTTTATTACTACTTATTAATAACTTTATATATATATATATGTATAGCCACTATTAAAAAGTTGTGGGGTTTCTGCACATTAATGCTTAATAATAAAAAAAAAACCTACTGTAAAGGTGTGGTTCTACACATATGTTTATATATTATGATTGGGAGAGTAGCACTATTCAGTTTTGTAATAAATTAATATTGTTTTTAACACTTATTAGGAAATTTTTAATTATACAACTCCGAGATAAATGGAAAGTTTAATATTTTGTATATGCAAAAAAATGTTTAGAATAGAAGTCCAGCCTGAAATACGTCATGCACAGGGGACCCGTGCAACATTTGAATTGCTTTGATTCAAATCGGATTTTAGTGGAGTTTATCTCAAAACCCTAAAGTCACTCACCATTTGTAAAATGTAAACGCTTTGCAATGGTATTCCATATTATCCATTTCAGTTTTGTTTTCATATAATTAGGATGGTTCGTGTCGTATAGCTCTTTGTGCTCTTTTACTGCTTCTATTAGTTCTTCAGCAGACATCTATAATTTTATGCAGACAATTAAAAACAATTTAATTTGAATATTTAGTTTATTATTAAAATAATTTTATTATGTTGAATAACTTACCATTACTTCTTTTCAATAACAATAATTCAAATAAATAAACACGATATACGTGCACACAGTAAACCGCACACTGTTTATTTAAGCGCAGCGTGCCAGGCTCGCACGTAAACGGTGACAGATTCTCGACGCCACCTCAAACACGGCGACATTTGCTTTACTAGAGGTATTCTGTGTATCGTTGCATATGTAAAATTATTTGAATTTACAAAAATCAAAAAAAAAATCCCTTTCTTATGATTCTGCATTGATTTCCACGGAAGTATGCAAGACCATATTTTCAACACCAATTACCTCTTGCATATGTGATTTTCAAGACTCTATTGTGAATAAAACTACTTTTGTCACTGTTCACAGGACAATATTTTAGCGAAACTCTCAAGTTTTGTTCACAATTGTTTGATTTTATATCTATTTTGCGACCGAGATAGTGCTATAATATACATATAAATGCACAAACTTAAATTACCCATTAATTCTGCAACAACAATCTCCAGCACAGCATTCTACATTCCCTGCTTTTTACATTTCCTGAAAACATGTGAAGCAACAACAACAATGTTCTTAAAAATCTTCAGATTTAGGTTTTATTCCCAAACGATTTTTCGGCTTAAGTTTTAGTGCAGCCAAATTTAAAATCAGTCTATTGTGAATGTTCACTGGAAATAATATATAAATAATATACAAACAAAAGTAAAATAACTTAATGCTTCTACTATAATTTTAACTTAATTAATAATTCTGACGCTACTGTTTTATTGTTTATGTAAATTTTGGCTAATTAAGTGACATTATAGTAACAACAAATTTTTATATATAATATAAATATTAGGGGTATTCAGGATGTCTGTGCATCGTTGCATGTGCAAAATTATTTGATTTTACAAAAACAATTCCCTTGTAAATAATTCTGCACTTGATTTGCAAGACAATATTCAAGACCATATTTTCAACACCAATTACCTCTTGCATATTTGATTTTCAAGACTCTATTGTGAATGATACTACTTTTTTATTGTTCGCTGGGCAATACTTTAGCGAAACGGTCGTTTTTTTTTATTTTGTCATTTTGTAATTTTATGATTTTATGCAATTGTTGGATTTTGTATTTATTTTACGTCCAACAATGTCGGAGCTGCTGGCCAAAAATATTCGGAGATATAGCAACAAAAAGTGGACCAACAATGAGGTAAATCTCATTCTAGATTTCCTTGAGGAAACTGAAGGTTTTAAGGTATATTAAAAGGTATATATTATATGTTATATATTTGTCTATAGAGTTCATTTCTTTTTTTGTATTCTATTAGACTCCAACAGCGCAAATGTTTTATAGGAAACTTATAGAATCAAAAAATATTATCGCAACTTGGAATATGTTGCGGTTTAAAGTACGCCATTTAAGACAAAGTTACAGGAAATAAAGTCAGAGGTGTAACTCAACAGGCGCAGGTCTTGAAGAAATTGATACCTGTTGAACTGTTAAAGTTGTAAATATAAAGCAGTGTACATATAAAAATGTCAGAATTACAATCGAAGAAACGTTTGGCGAAGTACGAGCTAGATCTGAAATATAGAAATCATGTTCGGCAAATCTAATTTTTTAAGTTATTACGTTATCAATTACTATATGTATACATATATATAATAAATATTATTACTATTGAGTATTCTTTCCTTTTTTTATTTTCTTGATAATTTATTACAAATATTTATATTTAACCATTAAATATTAATGAAAATACTTCTTGCCGTTTCATTTCACCATTTCTGCTAAATGATGCTGATATTTCCGGCACAATCTCATTTTCAGTTGTGGTATTTTTGGAGCAATACTTATAGATATTAATGTTATGGAGATGCATCCGTAGTTCTTTAAGACTTTCAAATTTTTCCTTTAATATGCCAAAGCAGTGCTCAATACATATTCGGTAGGTGCTATGTCCCACATTGAAAGCAATTCCTAAGTATCTACTCATCTGATGCGCATTATATCTATTTGGAGTTAATACATATTCTGATAAAGGATATGCTGAATCACTCGCAACCTCTCCATGATGCATCACACTGAATCTCCATCTGAAAAAAATTTTCTTTTTGTTTAAAAATTGAAGTCTTACGATTTATATTTTCATCATGCCAACAACAACATGCAGCTTATAATCACAGGCGATGATCAGTGGACCATTCAATAGATTTTGGAACTTTTGATGAAATTCCACGACGGCACATAAGCACAGTGGAAATGTCTTCTTCTAAATTATCAAAAATTTCACTCATTGCATCGTCATCATCACTATCAGTTTCTGAAATTTGTATGAATATAAATATACTGCTATATTAAACATATAAATGCACCAATCTAAATTACCCATTAATTCCGCAACCGTAAAATCCTGCACAGTATTCAATATTTTGTGCTTTTCACTTTTTCTTGGCATTTTTAAAATTATGCAAATCGAATTTGAGTTATATTTTACAAGTAAATAAATACAAAAACAAAAATCAGCTGTTCTAAATATTTTCAAGACCAATATGCACAAAGTGCGTTCACGAATATTTGAGTTTGCAATGATGCACATTCAACGATGCACAGACATCCTGAATACCCCTATTATATATTAAATACATAAATATATAAAACTAAACTAAAAATTTGTTCCTACACAAATTTGGCACTAGTTTCGTATGAAATCGTTTATCAACACTACTTTTTCGTGTATCAGCTGTTGAGCTGTCAGACTTACACTGAATCGTTTGTTATTTGCCGCATAATATTAAATATAAATAGAAAAATTTTAATCACTGAAAAATAATGGATGCTTTTTATAAATATCGGTACAGTATCATCGCTGGAACTTTTGCTGCTGGTGGCAGTTTTTTTGGGAAATTACCTACCTTTTTAGTGGAAAAACAATACCTATCACATTTACCCCTCAACAATTCTGCATATGCTACTTCCTTGGGTAATATATTTCTTCTTTATTTAATTTGTTAATACTTATTTATTTAATATTTTATTGTTCAGAATATGTGTTTCGTGTATTGCCAATTTTATTAATGATTTTATGTAATGTTATGAATTGGAGATATTTTTTGAAAGCGTTGCAAACAGCCGAACAAACAATATTCGTAACCGTGCTTACAACCGCAACAAATTATATTGTCTCGGTAAAATATATTTAAAATATTTTGATATTCTTTTATTTAATTTAATATATTCAGTTTGTTTTAGCTTCATTCATTTATCAAGAAGTCATCACCTTTTTATCTACAATTGGTACCACATTTATTATTGGAGGGCTGTGGTTTTTGTGCAGTAGTCAAGAGATAAATAAAAAATCCAAATAAGAAGCAGTACTGGATACTAATTGGCAGTACATGTTTAAAAATATAAAAGAATTCCGATTATCAAAATTAGTAGAGTAGCAAAATCTAATAAGAAAAACTGTGATAAAAAGTACTTATGCTGCTGTTTTAGCACTTTAAAGTGGTAACACACTAAAAACTATTTACAAAATTTTGAACTATGACAAATTACCGTATTTTAGATATATAAAATATAGTGCCAGCTCCCTTAAATGAGCACCGATGAAATCAGCAAAGTCAGTTTGGTTAAAAAAATTATTAATTTTATGGAACGTACTACGTACGCAAAATAGAAACTGAGGCCTAACAACATTTCAAGGCTGAAATAGATGCCCATAAAAAAGGGTTTTCATATTTATATACAGTCAAACCTCTCTATAACGAAGTCGGTAATGCCTGCAAAAAACTACGTTATAGACAAATTTTCTTTTAATTGTCTTTTTTACTGGGATTTATATACGTATTTATTTTAAAAATATATTTAATTCATATTTGTTCCTATAAACATATATTATATTAAAAACATTAATCATATACTGGTTTGTATTTAGAATAATTATTTTTAATAATTACTATTAAATTTATTATTATATATATTATAATTAATTATTTTATTCAGCTCAAAAAAAAATCTGTTATTCTTGCTTGTTTGGACATTTTAACTTTTTTTATTGTCAAGAAATTTGACCAAGTTAATAGACTCAAGATTTCTAAATCTCTAAAAATTCTCTAGCACTAGTCTTAAAAGCGAGAGCACACAGGTGTGTTTAGTGATGACTCTTTCATTTAAAATTTTTACTGTCAGCAAATGCGCATAATGTCCTCATCCCAATTATAATCTGAATAACATATTTACAAGCTCAAATCGATTAGGATACAGCTCGGAAAGAAGTTTCTCATAAGTTAAAACGTGTTAGTTCAGTGTTGAACTTGGTTTTCGCCATGGAGAGGTTTAAATAAATGAAAAAAAATAAAAAATTACTGTCTTCAACAAAACTTCGTTATAGAGAGGTTTGACTGTATTAATATATATATATAGTTTTCATGTATATGTAAATATATATAGCAATGCACCTATGCAATGGTATATTTATAAATACAAATAACAGTAAATAGATTATTATTGATTATATAAATTATAATTAAGACTAGTAATATATAATATGTTAAAGTAATTGCTGTACATTTTTATATAATTATTTAAATATATATTGTAAATAATTATATATAGATATGTGTATAATCTATATAATTTTATATGCTATATAAATAAAGTAATGTATTTAATCAGAAATTATGTTTAATTTGAATGTAAAAATAATTGTAGTATATTTTTATATAATTATTTAAATGTATATTGTAAATAATTATATATAGACATATGTATAATCTATATAATTTTATATACTATATAAATAAAGTAATGTATTTAATCAGAAATTATGTATAATTTGAATGTAAAAATAATTGCAGTATATTTTTATATATTTATTTAAGTATATATTGTAAATAATTATATATGGATATATGTATAATCTATATAATTTTATATACTATATAAATAAAGTGATGTATTTAATCAGAAATGATGTATATTTAAATGATTTATGTCTGCTTTAAGCATTTGTAAGAAATTATGATAAATAAAAAGATTTTTATGACTAATCTAAGTTACGTTCCTGTTAATATGTATATATGTAATTCTGTACTAGGAAAATCACAGAGTAACTTTTATTAATTAAAATCTTACTCTAATATAGTAATTTGCAGCAATTTTTTTTTGGGTTAATTGCATTTATTAACTCGTTCCTTGGTTCCATCTCAATGCTTATTAAACAATATTACTATTTATTTCTTTGAGATTGATTTCCTCCATCCTTCTATCCTATTTGATGTCAACATTTCTTCTGTAGCTCAAATTTAGGTTGTACGAGTCCACAGATTGGTATTGGACTCTCTGTGTAATAATACTCTTCCATGTTTCACTTTCATGAGATCAGCTCTCCCAAATTCTCTATAATCATATTAAATAAGTGAAGTTTTGCAAAAGTACATTATATGGCAGCAGTTCCATCTGATTTCAATAAAATAAACTCTAATATTATTGTTAATTTGCAATAACTCTCCTGCAATAGACAGAGACTTTACTATTGTCCACTCTCAACTTAAATGAATTTAATACAAAATTTTGGTATGCAAGACATACATCGTTGTTCATATTATTTTTCTTCTTTACATAGTTTTTGCATGCGTATTGTTGCTTTTCGCTTTCTTTTGCTTATCAACTCAATTCAAATGTATTTATTACGCGGTGAAGAATATTTCAGTTGAAAAAATATATTAACATAAATTAATTGACCGTTAAACTAATACGTATAGTCTAATTCGCTAAATAAGTACATCTCTCTTACATTATATCTGAAATTTGTACAGTTCATTCATTCTGCAAAATATTACGAGCGAAATTTTTGTTGTTAATGGTTGATATGCTTTATGTTAATCTGAATAATCAACATTCAATTTTTTTTTTCAAAAACATAAATGTAATCCACATTAAATTAAGCGACCTTCCATCTTTTTATGTTATTATTAAAAAAATCCTTTTTGTTTTGTATATAGATATATAAACACAAATTTTTATTTAACAAATAAAAAAATTAATTCTCATATTTAATTACTATTCGGATCTGTTTTCTTTTTAAAATACTGTTATTATACTTAAGATTGCATGAAATCATAAAATTGCGTCTTAAATTATTTTCCTCCTATTAAATGCCCACTCTGCTACAAATCCTCTGAAGCGCAGCCTTTTACAGATCTGGAGCAGTAAGTTAAGCAGTTTAATAGGTGTTTATTTCTTAAGTAGTAGAAGCTAATTACTAAATTCTTAGCTATTTTAAGAACAATTTAACCATTGAATATAATTAATGTAATTACTTTTATTTATTAAAAACGATGAACATAAAATAAAGTTTCTTAATGAAATTAGTATGTTTTTCGTTTCTTTTGAAGTATATATGTTTCTTACTTTTCTGTATAATAATTACTTTTCGTATAAATTAGATATATAACTCTTTTAGTAATTCATGATGTTTGCTATTTTCAACTTTTTATTAGGTTTTTTTTATTTTTGCGCTTTTCTTAGATATTAATTTTATGTACTCTGGGTTCTTATATTTCTCTAAACATGATTTGTTTTTAAAACAAATAAAATGCTGCTTGTTTTAGTTTTTGTCTAAGCCACCACCCATGGGCATCCTATTGGATTGTCGGGGATTCATATAAGATGCATTGGAGGAACCACCATTGTTACTACCATTATTGTTGCGTCCCATTGCACGCGGTGGTCCATTGCCACGAACATTAGAGCCGTTACGAGTGTTGCGGTAGTTGTTGGAGCCCTCATAACGGGTGTTGTCTTTACCGTAAATGTTCCCACCACCATTTTGGTAATATGTACCGGTTGAGGAACTCTCATTATTTCTGAAGTACATACCACTACTGCCATTACCACGGTTACCGTTTTGCTGTGATGAGTAATTGTTAGGTCGACCACGATATCCACCGCTTCCTCCTGTTCGTCCACGATCATCACGGCGGTCATCACGATCACGTCGATCGTCGCCACGACGTTGATAAGGGCCTCGACCACCACCGCGTCCACCATAGCCGCCATCTGGTTGATTTGAGTTCCAATGGTTAGTTTCATGCGAATTGTCGGATGATGTAGATGCTTCACCATAACTGTTGGCACCGCCGCCATTATTATTATTATTGTTGTTGTTGTTATTGTTGCCACCACTGGCCCATTCATTCTTACGTGGTACTATATTTGATGGCTGCGGTGCTACTACACTACTTACTTCAGTACTCCACTTACCATCTAAGCCCCCTGGTTTCAAAACATTTGTAAGAGCGGCAGTAGCAGTAGCATTTGTTTGAGCTAACGATGAACTATTTGTTACTGGACGTGTTGAAGTAAGCGAAGCTTCCCATTCTTTAACTGAATCGGAACTGAAGTTATGAGTTTCCTCTGTGCCTTTAGTTTCTTCTGTTGGATTCGGTTTCAAAGCTCCTGTTGCTGCCAGTTGTTGAACTTGTTGTTCATAGGAGAGAGATGAAACGACTGGATTATCAAAAGAAAATCCGACACTAGGAGTAGTAACATCACCTGGTTGCATACCTAAAGTTTGAGGTGGTGCCTGCTGAGGTGGTATTCTTGCTTGAGGCGCAGCTAATCGTGCCATAATCATCATTGGTTGTTGTTGTGGGTCATTAAGCAATATTTGCTGCTGCGCGTTATTACCCACATTTATTACATCCTGTTGATGCAAAAGTTGTTGTTGTTGTTGCTGCAATGTGCTAACAGGGGAAAATAATTGTGGTTTTTGTTGAAACATTGGGCTTGGTGTGGTGCTGCTTAGAGTTGGGGTATTGTTATTGTTGATTGTTGGTGTTTGTACATGTTGAATGGGCGGGAATGACTGATTAGTGAACGTTTGTGTTGGAATCGGTTGTGTGGGGGGTTGTTGTTGTGTTTGCATGTTATTTACTATTAACTGTTGTTGCGAGTGCGATTCTTGAACTTTATGCAATTCAGTAGGCGTATGAATTTCAGTATGCGGATTCATAATATTAACAGGTGCTGGTTGTTGTTGTTGCTGCAGCTGAATAGTTTGTTGCTGTTGTTGATCATAGACAACATTGTTTACTGGTACAGCGCTACCTGTTACAGTACCAATTTCCGGCGAATCCAACTCACTGTCCTGCAGGAAGTAGAAATTACCACCACCAATTACTTCTGCTAACGGACGTATGTTCTGCAAATATTGCTGCTTAAAAAAGCCCTGCTCGACAGCACGTACCGTTGTTGGTGGATAATGGCCTGGTTGTGGGGCTCCGTGCAATGCCATTGGTGCACCTTGAGATAGTTGGGCTCCTACTGGACTACCAGCTAGTTGACGCTGCTGCGTGGGTGGGCCTCCAACTATCTGAGGTGGTGGTGGAACTTGCGGAACATTAATGATACCACCTGGCTGTACCTGCTGTAACTGAGTAGGAGCTTGTATTTGCATTTGCTGAGGATACATATTTAAATGGACAGGAGTTGCTGTACCGGAAGGTGGTCCTGGTTGGAAATTTTGCCCAGTTACAACTGCAACTTGCGCTGGAGCCTGCATGCCAGTTGGAGTTTGTGTGGAAGTTTGGGTATTTAACTGTTGTGACTGACCCTCAACTTCTTTTACAATATTTTTCTGCTGTGTGAACTCCAACGTGGGAAGGGGATTTTGCAATAAACCACAACTGTCACTGCTCGAAACTGAGACGGATTGTAGCTCAGCATTTCCATTATCACCATCCGACAAATTCATTTTCTCTACACCTTCTTCTAATGATTCTTCTACAGCTACAGTATCTTCAATCAAATTTCCAACTGCTTCATCC